GAAACTTGAGGCGCCCCGGTGGCCGCGGGCGCCCCAGGCCCACGCGACTCGCGGCACCCGAGTGCGCATGGTAAAACACCTTCCTAGGCTTGTTACCGTGGTGACCGGTTCCGGACTGCGGCGGCGCGACGCAGCGTAGTCCTATGCCTATTTCCTGCCGGGCTGTCTGGAGCACCCGGGGACCAGAAGAAAGGTTCCGGTATAATCGGTTCCGTCCGGCCTCCAAGACCTTTGCAGCTGCGTGTTGAAGTCCTGTAACCAGTGCATCTCTTTAATCCTCCCCAGGCAAGAACCAGACATAAAGCCTTGAATGAAGACTAGATGCATTTCAATGTAATAATCTTTTTAAAAATTGTTATGTATATTTGCAATACATAACAGTTGATTTCGTGTTAGGTTATGCAGACTTAAAGAAAAATGAAATCATGTCATTTGCAGGAAAATAGATGGAACCTGAGAAATACTGTTAAGCAAAGTATTTACTGCTTCTACTGAGACTGTGTATGGTACTTGAAACTCTTCCAGGTTCTTCCTTGCATACGATTCTGCCAACAACATTAAGCAAGATAACAGCCCTTTTTTGTTTCCTATAAACCAGACACAGTGCCCCGCGCATAAGCACCCAATAAATCTTTGTGCCATTGAACAAAGTCTTGTATTTTTTTACATTATTTTAATCTCACGGCAAGCAGTAATAAATAGTTGGTATTATTATCCTCAGTTTATAGACAAAGCCTCCAAGATTGAGTGCTAGGTGGTTAGTGTCAGATCAGGTCTTGGAAGGTGGGGTTGTCTAGCTTCTGAGAGCTGTTATAGGCTGGGTCATTGGGAGAGTCTTACCTTGACCTCACCCCAGCAGCTCTCTTTCCCTCTGACCTGCCCTCATTTCCTGTCAGCTTCCTCTAAGGAGCCCAGGACATGCGTGCACACTACACTAAATGACAAGCTTAAGGTAGGGCCATGTCTTAGTCCGCTGGCTACTGCAACAATGGCACAGACTGGGAAGCCTTGGTGACCGGAAAAAATGTATTCTTTACAGTTTCTGAGGCTGGGCAAGTGAGAGATCAGGGTGCTTGTGGATCCTGTGTCTGATGACGGTGTGCTTCCAGTTTGCAGATGACCTCACATGGGGGAAAGCAGAGCAGAAGGTCCCATGGGTCCTCCTTCTTTTACATTCATGCCTTTACAAGGGCTGCACTCTCATGACTTACTACCTCCCAAAGGTCTGGTCTCTTAAATCCCCTCACCCTGGGGATGAGGCTTCTGCAGATGGGTTTTTGGCCAGTGCATCATTCATCCCATAGCAAACCGCATCGACAAGGCTGCTTTGCTGAGTTTGGCTGAAGAATTCAGTAAACAAAGACCTAGTGCTCAGGATGTCCACAGCAGTCTTGCTTTGGATGAGGAAAAAGCGGAGGAAAGCTGCGTGTCCAACTAGAGAGGGATTTGTTAAATGAAATACAGCGATGTATACAGTGCTACGGTCATAAAAGATACAGGGGGATCTTCAGGTTACGATGTTCACAGAGCAGACACCACCTCTGGAAACCCATAAATCCGCAGCAAAGGGCCTGCGGAAGACATAAATTCCACTCAGGAAGAACAGGGAAGGGAGTCCCAGCAGCAGACTCTGGAAGCTGCTCAGAGGCAGACTGGAGCTGCCTGACTCCACTGACTTCTGACAGTGAAATCTCTCGCAGCAGAAGGGAAAGCTGAAAACCAACTCATTCCAAAGCTTTGGAATTGGCAGCATCAGCTGCTTTTAGACCTAAGGGTGAAAGAAGGCTATACAAAGAAGGTTAGATCCTTAGGTCGCTGCCCTCTCCCTGCCCCACTCTGGAAAACATCTGGGCTGTCTGTTAGAAATGGTCAGCGTGTGGCTGGGCAGGCCGGGGACAGCAGCAGATGTGGACATGCTGCTGACACAGGTCGGCCCTGCACGCTGAGGGCGGAGATCCCACCCACCCCCAGCAGGCTCCCTTGGAGCCAGAGCCTGACCCCTCTGACAAGGCAGACAGTTTCCCAACAAATGTCCCAGCAAGTTCACCTCAGAGTAAAGCTAAAGTGTCATCCACAGGCTTATTCTGTTCAGTCCTTTTAATCATGAGCAAGATTCCCCAGCACTTGAGGAAATCCTTTTATAAATAGGGAGAGAACAAAAAGTACATAGAGTTTAGAAACCATGAAGAGAGACAAAAACAATTGTTTTAAGGAAACAATCATCGATAGCTTTAAGAGGTAAGAGCTGAACATAGAAATGCACACCTGTAATCTCAGCACTCGAGGCTGAGGCAGGAGGATCACTGTGAGTTCTAGGTCAGCCTGGGCTACACAGTGAATTCAAGGCCAGCCTGGGCTACATAGCAAGGCTGTGTCTCCAAAAACACATTCCCCCCCCACTAATAAAAGAGAATCTCTTAAATATTAAAAATAGGGAAGAAGCCGGGTGAGGTGGCACATGACTGTAATCCCAGTACTCGGGAGGCTGAGGCAGGAGAATCGCTGTGAGTTCAAGACCAGCCTGGGTTACATAGTTCAGGGCCAGCCTGAACTACAAAGCACGACCCTGTCTCAAAAAAAAAAAAAAAAAAAAAAAAAAGCAAAGAAGAATTGTTGAAAACTACATAAAAGGCCAGAAGACAAAGTTGTGGGGGGAAAAAATCATCCAAATCTGAAAAATAAAATATAGCAAGCATTTCCAAAATGGCCTATTGAGTGCTGGCACAGGGGATGAAATTAGACCCTCACAGAGGGATTTTTAGTGTCAAATTCCAAAACTCGAACCCAAATTTTAAACTCTCCCAGAAGGAGCCAAGTCGGTTCCATAGCAAGGTGCAGCAATAGCCTGGACTCCTCACGCCACACCCGGCCACCATGGGGGGAGGGGAGAGCACGAGCTTTCACAACGGTCCCCTCCTCCCGTGCCCTCTTTGGCAAGAGCTCCTGGAGGATAGGCTCCGCCCAGACGAGGGAGCCAGGTGGGGTTTGCCGCTGCCAGTTTATGGAAGAGATTTCACAGCTCACCGCCCCCCCCCGAGGCTGGGCAGCTTAGGGTCGGGGCCACGTCTGGTGGGACTTTCTTGCTGGAGTGGACTCTCAGCAGAGTCCCAGGGCAGGGCAGAGAACCAAACAGCAAGTGTGTTGTGCTCGAGGGACAGAGTCACACTGGCTGTTACCACAGACCCACCCTGTAAGCGCCTTAGTCTCACTCCACTGATGGCTAAGTTCCAGACAGCACAGCCTCAGGACCTAAGCACCTCTACTGGTTCCACTCCCCCCACGCTGTAGTGGGGACGGAATCGAGGGCTTTCCCATTGAGCCACATCTTCAGCCTATTTATTTAGAGATAAGTTCTTACACAATCAAGTCACTAAGTCTCCCAGGCTTAGTTTGAACTTTTCGATCCTCCTGCCTCAGCCTCCCAGAATGCTGGGATTACAGGTGTATGTTGTTCCCTGCTCTTCAACCCTCACCGTGGGGATTACATTTCTCACAAGCTGTGGTGAGGACATTCAAGCCGTAGTGACTGTGCCAGCCAGATACAAGAGTCCATCTAGGCATGGGGGTGAGGCCTGAGGGGGACATGTACACCAGGCTTGTGCGGCTGGACCAGTGCACCCGGTTATGCTGAGTGCTGTCCGTCTCAAGCCTTCTGCTGCCACCATCTGCAGGGTTACATACAGGACCCAGTGAGCCTGGCCCCGAGTGCCTTTCTGCTCAGGGCCCATGCAGATCACAGGCGGCTGGGCCCCCTTTGTCCCCAGTCCGCCCAGGACACTTGATACACCTGGCAGGAACAATCAGTCGCCCCACTCAGATCTGAATGAGGGACGCAGGAACTGAGGAACAAGAGGACAGATGAGCCCAGGCCCTGAAGTGCCGTGTTCAGTGCCCTTGTCACAGCTCTGAGAGCTCCAGGCCTCCCTGCAGGGGAGCCCCACTCACTCTTTACCCTCTGGCCAGCCTGCACAACTGAGCAAGATCCTGTCTCAAAACCAAAATTAAAAAATAAAAAAGGACCGGCGGGGGGAGTGTAGTTTGGTGGTAGAGCGCTTGCCTAGCATATGCCTTTCCTGCATTCAGTCCCCAGTACTGCAAAAATAAACATCTCAACACTCGGGAGGCTGAGGCAGGAGGATTGCTGCACACTCGAGACCCGCCTGGGCTCCACAGTGAATTCAAGGCCAGCCTGAACTACACAGTGAGACCTTGTCTCAAAAAACATAAATAAATAAGCAAAACTCTAAAAAAAAAGGAAGGGCATCTTCAAAGTTGAGGTAGAGATGGCCTTTGAGGGTGGAGACACTGCAGGGGCTTCTTAGACCACCCCTGGGGCTACCCGGTAGCCAGAGTAGAGCACCCCCAGTGAACCTTGTTGTTACAGTCTTAAAGTATGCACATGTTTTATATACATAGCTATTGGAAATGTGTCACAGTTAAAACAACGTAGGGAAACACTTGTTAATGTACAAAGAGGCTCCTGATTTTTTATTGCAAGGGCAAGAAAACAAGTTACACAACTGCGTATTGCCTGAAAGTTCTCGTACAGGAAAAGGAACACGTGCCCTGCTTTGAAAGAACAAAGGTGTTTGACAATGCTTCCTCTAGGTGACGGGAGTGGGTGGTTGTATTTTTTCTTCTTTCTTGCCTCTTTCTTTTGTTTACTTATTTTTCTTTTGCTTTAAAACAGGGTCTTAAAAAAGAAAAAGACGACAGGGTCTTGCTATGTAGTTTGGGCTGGCCTTGAACTCACTATGTAGCCCAGGCTGGCTTCAAACTCCTCCTGCCTCAGCCTCCCAAGTGCTGAGATGACAGGCGTGCTTCCCCATAGCCAAGTCCGGCTTTTATAAAAACCGCGGACTACTCCTGTCACAAAAGCCAACACATGCTGTAGGGGGATGTGGTGCTCTGTGGCAGACCACTCGGACCCAAGCCAGGGCAGGCTGTAATATGGAGCGGGCAATTCCCCCATGCTTGGCTCCAGTGTACTGGGAGCTGGACAGAAGCCTGCATGACTCCCAGGAGCGTGTTGGACGCTTCCTTGGGCTAGTGGTTTTTCCACCAACAGCTGCCTTGGTGATCCAAGTTCTGATCTGTGGAGCTGCAGAGCTCCTAGTGAGAAGACACTGCAGCTGAAGACCGTGGGACTCCGATCCGCATTCTACCACCGGAGCCGCCCATCCCTTGATCGGTTTCAGTAGCTTACTAGTTAACCGTCACCCACTTTGGGTCAGTTCTGCAAGTACGCCTGGCCCTCCTTTCCACAAGCCTTGCCTGTGTCCGCTGACATCACCAGATGCCACGTGAGTTCCCCTACCCCATTCTTACCTACACCTGTGTAATCAGTAAGTGGCCAAGGTGGCCACTGGGTGCCCTGGCCGGGGGCAGCGTGTGCAGAGACTTAGAGGCAGAAGGTCAGGAGGTGACTTGTGCCGGAGCTTCCCTGGGTCCAAGGCCGTGGGACCCACAAAGTGGGGCATCGTCAGGAAGTGAGCACTGCGTCGGATTCCCAGACAGACCACCGGGTATGGGGCGCAGCAAAAAGGCCCAGCTCAGCAAGGGATTCAAATCACCGAGAGAGGGCGGGACAGCAGTTTATTTCCATTTTGTATCTCTGTGTTTCTATGGGAAGGGGAAACCATCAGCTGTGGTTGCTGGGGAAACAAGAGACACAAGCAGAGGGTTGGAGAAGGGGGAGCAGGGCTTTCCAAGATGTTTTGGTCTAGGGAGTTTGCATGACAGCTGTGCTCATAGTCACAGTGTATCTTCCATCGTGGAGGAATTTCAGTTTCCTCTCGATCATGTTTCCTGTGGCAGCTGGGGGACAAGCAGGGAGCTGGGGAAGTGGGTGGAGGGAGGCAGGCAGAAGTCCGACACAGGGAGGCCGGTGGACATGGGGCCTGCACACCTGTGGCACGAATCCCAGGGGTGGCAGCTCACAGTGACCCACTGTCCTCCTCTGGGAATGGGCGCCAGCTCCCCGGGTGGCCTGAGTGTTCCTCAGCAGCAGGGAGCTGAAGGCAGAGTCCCACTCTCCAGGTGGCCCTCCGCTCCAGGCCCTGTGCACAGCTGGAGAGAGCTGGGGGAGGCGTCTTCCGCCCCGCTCCTCACAGGAAGAGGCAGAGGGCTGGCAGTGCCATGCCGGTGTGGCCAGGGGACACCTCCGCTGGGGACAGCGGGCATGGTGCCAGGGCCACCTTACTTCTAGGGGCAGGAATACACTTTTGGGGGGTCCTGGGGATTGAACTCGGGACCTTGTGTTTGCAAGGTAGGTGGCAGAACCACTGAGCCGAATCCCTGGCCCTTTGTTTGTTTTTAAAATCAGAAGAAAAAGATGAATCTAGCCTGAGTTATACTAGACTTTTCACCAATACAGTAATACACACATACATGCATATATAATATATAGTATTAAAATACATATACATACACGCAGGTCCTTGAAAAGTAGTCACAAGGCAACCCTGGCTGGTCCCCAGGGAGTCTCCAGGCCCCCGGGCTGCTCTCCTCCTCTGGCTGTGTAGACCCGGTGGCTGGTGCAGGCTGAGGGGCACAGCCAGGCGAGCCAGCTGAGGGGTTGGGGACAGCGACAGGGAAGCAGAGCCCACCTGTGGGTGAGGGGTGAGTGACCCTGGTTAGGTGCCCCTGGCCGCTCCTGCTCACACAGCACCACTTGTCCGTGCCCGCCTTACGGGCGGCGCCCTTTCGTAGACGAGGAGCTGGAGGCCGCCGGGCCAGTCTAAGGGAGCCCTGGAGGGTCAGGGACCTGGCGCTGCAGGACTTGCTGAGACGCAAGCAGCGAGGCTCCCCGCCCAGCCACCGGCAGGGAACCAACGCCGGATCGCGCCTCCGCCTCAGCTCCAGGGCGGGGCCGGGCAGGGCGGGGACTCGGCCGCCAGTGCTCAGTGCCCTGCGGAGAGCGGTGAGTGGCGGGACTGGGAAACTCGGGCTCCGCCGGCTGCAGGCGAGGAGGGCGCCCGGCAAGGTCTGCGCTGCGCGGAGAGGGGCGAGAGGCCAGGCTCGGGGCGAAGCAAGCCTTGTAGGGGGCGGGAATCTCAGGCGTCCGGAGGAGGCTGGGACTCGGGGAAACTGAGGCTGGCTCGAGCCGGGAGCCGGGGTGTGCACCGGGAGATCCGTTCCCAAAGCCTGTTTCCTCTGCGGGAGCCCAGGGCGCCCTCCCTCCCAGCCCCAGCCGAGGTCGTGTGGGGCGCTCGGGGACAAGGGCCCGGCTCGAGCTGTCAGGAGGCCGCTGCTTTTTACTCTCCACGCTTTACTTGACTCCCTCCCCACCCATTATTTGACTTTTGAATGCTTGCTCTGCTCGCGTTTTACTTACTCTGACCGTGTAGGCGGAGCCGGAAGACTTTCTCTGTTTTAAAAAGCGATCAGTCTCCCTGAAGCAACTTCGCCGCGCCACAGACCTCCCCGTCCCCCGCTGGCTGCGGCTCGACTCGTTACTTTCTCAGTGAAAGAGGCTCACTTTCGGGGCCAGGGATGTAGCTCAGTGCCGCTGCCCCTGTCTGGAGAGCACAAGGTCCTGAGTTCCATTTCTGACACTGAGAAAAAAAAAAAAAAAAAAAAAAA